CGACGACGACGACGACGACGACGACGACGATGATGAGGAATGAGGCGAGCCGCACATCGCGACGTGGCCGATTAATACCGCAATCGTTAATTGTTTATCGGCGTCGCCGGGATTACATCGCGAGTAGTAATGAAAACGTATAGGGAAAATATATATATATATAGATGTATATTGTATATTACATGTATATCCGGTAAAACTGATTGTTAATACTGGATCTGTTTCCTCGTTTCAGCCGCCCTCATCAGTCCTACATCCCTCACCATTCTCTAAACCTGTATATACGTCCCTTAACTTATTTTATATTCAATTTGAAACTCTCTCGCGCACAATCACAGAATTTAGAGTCTTTAACGCGAGCTCCCATTCGAGAATCGTTCGGTAACTTATTTAGGTAATGATTGCATAATCATTATATCTATATCAACTCCAAAAATCTCTGTATTCATAAAGAATAATCTACTTAGGATTAAGCAAAGTCTAAGAAAATGCAGTTAGAATGAATGAAGAGAAATGTTATTTTATCTCACAGACAAGCCCTCAGTTTCGCGCACATTGCTGAAAATTATTCTCGTATAAATTGACCCTAAAAGTCGGTAACTTCCTGGTATTTTTGGTAGATGCTAACATCCAAAATGCGGCGTCGTTGATGTAATTTTGAGCACGAGGCCTCATAATACGTTGACCCCGCGGAGTATTTTCAGTAATCGAAATTAAGAATGCATCATCCGAATCCAAACTCGTCGTCGAACTGTCTGCAATATTTACGATCTTCTTTACAGCAACTGCTGCTGCTCCGCGATGTACATACATACCTACCTCTCGCAAACTTTCTGCCACGATAATCGTTCTTAACTTTACACATGTGTACACCGAGCCGAACCGAGCTGTGTATCGAATCGAGTGTTCTATCTAAGACTTGCTCCATTACGCAGACGATGTAATGTATTTCGAAGAGCCGTATTTACGACCACGAAACTGTCAGCATTGTCAGTAGATTACAGAAGCCAATATAAGACGTACCAACGAGAACGACTGCGAGAACGAGGACGACGACGACGACGACGACAAAGACGAAGGATGAGAACTAAGACGAAGACGAAGAGGGAGAAGATGAAAATGAAAACGAAGACCAAGATGAAGACGAAGATGAAGATGGGGATGCTCAAGGAGGCTTGCTAGTGTAGAATCTAAAAAAAGATCACCTACGTAAATATGCGAGCGCGAACCCGTCTCCCCCGTTCGCATCTTCAAGAATCTGCCGTTGCGACATCCTCACGCAAATACAATCTCGCCGCTCGCGCGACTCTCATTTGCATAATGTCCTCGGTCCATAGGTGGAAAGGACGTACGATCCGTTGTAAATTCGGCTCCGGGTTCGTCGTTAGCTGCTACGCGTGGAGAGTGACCGTTATACGTCGTCATATCTCTCTCTCTCTCTCTCTCTCTCTCTCTCTCTCTCTCTGCCATGAGTATTGCCTTATCGTCGATGCGGCCGACGTAGCTGCATGGGTAACGATCGCGCGGGGGACCGCACTTACGATCGATCTATCTCAATCGATCGCCGGGGCGCGTGCCACGATTTACCATCGATCGCCGACGATCGATTAACCCTGTCGAGTTGCTCATCGGCTATCCTTGGCCGCGAGCGGGACGAGGACAGTCGTAAAAAAAAAAAGACGAAAACGGAGAATGAGAATGAGAGACGTACGAAGAAAGAAGAAAGATGGGGAGGAAGAGGGCGAAAGGGGAGGACGGTGGGTGTGGGAGGTGGGCGAGGGTGATGGACAAAGGGTGGAACGGGGGGCGAAGGGGTGGAATGAGGGAGATGAAACGATCGTGGCAGAAAAGGAGGAAGGACGAGCAACAGAGAGAGAGAGAGAGAGAGAGAGAGCGCACATGCGTGGGAGAGAGAGGAAGAGGAAGAAACGGAGAAGTACGTTTGAGGAGCGAGAGGGAAGGAAAAGGGAAAGGAGAGTGTGAGGGTTCGATGGAGAGAGGCAGTCGGATGTGCGCATGGCGAAAAGAGAGAGAAAGAGACGGACGGGAGAGGCAGGAAGGGTAAGACGGAGAGAGATGGAGACCTGCGAGAGCGCGGAGTAGCGAAGGACAGACTGCGCCGGACCAGCCACAGCCGCCGCCGCCGCTGCCGCTGCCGCTGCCGCCTCCACCGCCGGCCTCCACCACCGCCGCCACCACCGCCGCCTCCACCGCCTCCACCGCCGTGAGGCTTCGAACCCGAACACGACCGAACGTCGTCGAGCAACAACGGAAACGTACGAGCGGTGCGGTTCGAGCGGCCGAGCGAGCGATACGGCCGAGCAGTGCGGTGCCGACTCTTGCTGCCGCGGTTGCAGATTCCGCGGTGTGTGTGTGCGCGCGTGTTTACACGACGAGAGGGAGAGAAAGAGAAAGAGAGAGCACGAGAGGGAGAGGGAGAGTTTGCGCCGCGGAGGCGAGGGCAGGAGAGCTCGAAAGAGAGAGAGAAAGAGGAGAGGAACTTGCGAGAGCAGAGGAGAAACGCAAAAAAGTGGCGGAGAAGTCGGCGAGTCGTCCGCGAAACACGGTGCGTACGCGCGTGTTCCGTCGAGCAAGTTCCTCTCTCGCAGGAGGATTCACGCAGCGCCGTGAATACGTATACGCCTCAGCTCGTGGTATCGTGCGGCGTATCGCGAGGTATCGCGAGTTATCGCAACGAGCAACGGTCGACGGGAGAGAGAGAGAGAGAGTGAGTGAGTGAACGAGCGAGAAAGACGTGTAACAAACGTCTCAGGCGTAGCGTCGTCGTGCTTCGCGCGACGTGACCGGCACGCACACGCCGCGAGAAGCGCGAGAACGATAACGCGCCAACCACTCTCGCGTGGCTGCCTTTAACGGGGCGTGGGTGCACCATACCGCGCTGCACCACACCACACCGCACCGCACCGCACCGCAACGACGGTGGTGCGGCGAGACGGCGGGTGGTGCGCGTAATTCAAAAGGTGCGCGCGACGGCCGCGGCGAGAACATGACAGACGACACGGAGTGCGCGAATTCGAGGCGGCATTGCGTCGCGGGTGAAGGGACGATAATATAAACGTAGTGTGGCAGAAGAGAGAAGGCGGAGGGAAATAAACAGAGAAGAGGAGAGCGAAAGAGAGAGAGAGAGAGAGAGAAGGAGAGAAGGAGGACGCACGCGAAGCCAAGAGGAGAGAAACTCCTCCGAGAAAGAAAGCTCCCAACAACCGAAGTACATCCGCGCGGCCAGTGATCCCGTGTTGCGGCTCGCGTGTTGCGCGCGCGAGAACGCGTCTGGTGAGTGTGTGTGAGTGCCGAGAGGACCCAGGCCGCGCGCGCGAGTGGGCCCAGCAGGAGAGAGAGGAAAGAGAGGAGAGCAGAGACTTTCGTAGCTTCCGGCCTGTCGGCGCGGAGGCGTTCCGGCTGACGGTCCGTAGGTCTCGCGAGGATGCTGGTAACGTCATCGACGGTCGTTACGGCGAAGGCTACGATGACGACTTCGCGAGGTCTCGACTGAGTTCTCGACTCTCGGGATTTACCGAGAGAGGGTGAGAAAGAGAGAGAGAGAGAGAGAGAGAGAGAGAGAGAGAGAAAGAGAGAAATAGAGAAAAAGAGAAAGGACGACAAAGAGAGAAAAAGAAAGACAGAGAAGAGGACGAAATTTCCGCGCGGTACGCCGCGTCGGTGATCGACGTCGGTTCCGCCGCCGCGACGACGTTGGCATCGGGGAGCGTCGTCGTGCTACTGGCCGCGGCGTGTTAATCAGGTGTTCGCGGAGCGAGAAAGGTGAAAAACCACGCTCAGCGAGCAGTAACGACGGCAAACCGTTCTTTGTAAGTCGTCGTCGTCGTCGGAAGATTCGGAGTCACGGCGACAGTGCCTAAACACGAGCGATAGTCGTGTCGAGTAACCGATGACTGTGTTCTTCAATTGCTGTCGCTGAAGACTGGATATCGCATCCAGTGACTATTCGCGGTCTTTGCAATTGAGAGACAAGCGAGGGATATTACTTGCGAGCACACTCGCGGTAATCGAAAGACTCGCGCGAGAAGAGGTCGGCGCGAAGGTGGTCGTGCAGCGACCAGTCCGCAATCACGCGATCCGGAGGACCCTTCTCGGAAACCACCCGCGATCCTAACAATCGCTTTCGAAGGATCTCGAAGCCGGTATCGATCCCGAGCCGTAGCGTGGAAACGCGCGGTGGGCTTACTCCGTAACGGAGTTACGGAGGGATTACCCAGAGACCCGTTTCTACCCTAGAAACGAACCGTCCTCGTTTTCGGTGGCGACGGTCGAAGAAGCGTCTACTCGGCCACGCCGAGAGATCCGGAAGGAGGTAACGTGAGAGCGACGTCGCGACGCCGGCCGACGGCGGATCACTTCCGGTGAAACCGACAACGCGTACGGCACAGCCAGGATGCAGGTGGCAACGTTGTTCAGGGAGAGCGCTACCCTGCTGGGTGCGTCCAGCCTGGACCCCCCGCAGACTCACCATCATCAGAGTATGCACCAGCCGCAGCAGCAACAGCAGCAGCACCAGCAGATGCAGCAGCAGCAGCAGCACGCCACCGACATGCACCTAGTCGGCCACCACATGCAGCACCACTACAAGATGTAAGTATCCGCCTCTCTGCCGTTCTTTTCGAGCACTGATGCCGGGAATCCGCGCCCGACGCTCGAAAGTGTTCGACCTTCGGGCCCGAGAGAGCCCGCTTCGGTGAGCACGCGGCAACAACACGCGCGAGAGATGGCCGTTCCACAGCCGTCGGTGTATACCTGCGTCCAAGTTGTTAACTTCACGAACGAGACCGTCGGAGACTTCTCGTAAAGAGCGGAGCTGTAGGATCTCTCTTCTCGCGCCGCTGCATAAAATACAGCTTGGCGCGTCAAGTTACCTTAGCCTTTTTGTTTCCTTACATCTCTAGAAATTTACAGGAGAGGAGGCTTACAGAAATAAGCTCTTCGGGAAAATTATGGGCATTGACGCTTATAATTTACGTTAAAACAAAATACGCGAATCCAACTTGGGGTTAATTAATTTTCGCGTTAAATATAAACTAACATAATGTGAAAGAGAAATTTAGCTTCCTTATTTTCAGAGAACGAACAGTAAAATTTTGATACCGGGCCTTACACGAGTCGTTTACCTTGAAAGCAGATTGAAGATCGCAGAATTGAAGAGCCAGAAAACTAGAATTGTAACTCGAAAAGATATTCAGTGTCTCTCGCTCTTTCGTTCAGAGAGCTGAATAATGAAGGCGATTTTGCGACCAGTTGCTTCAATTGTTGTAGAAACCAGGCGGTTTTTGTGGTCAAAACAGCATATAACCGCTAAACCCATTTCGCTTTTTCCACCGGGTAGATGCTGTCCAAACACGCCTGGCTTTTGCATCAATACGCCAGCCACTAAACGGCAAACCATATTCGTATACCAAACTAAGCGGCAAATGTTATTTGCCGAACACTAAAACCCGTAAAATCCCATCCGTTCGAAGAAGCGACCTTGACGGCTTCTTGCACACGAGCCTTCGCGTTAAACTCCACCTGACGGTATAATTTAGCGCGCCCCTTTCGCGTTGCAGTTCTAGGTAAGATTCTTGTCGCGTAATGATTAGATGCGAGAGATAATAAAGCGACGAAGGGCGATGTTACCCCTCGTGCGGATGCCGCGCTTCTTCGTCGAACTCGGTGAAGACGAACTACCTTCCGAGACGGGGCTTTAATTAAACAATTTTAATCAAATGGTTAAAAAACAGTGCGTTTCGCAAAGGGTGAGAAAAGGAGAGAAAAGTGTGTCGACGATTTCCGCGACGATCGTATCTCTCCCCCCCCTCCCCCTCGTAACTCCCGATCTTTTTCTCCAATTCGCCGCGGAACGATCAGCCCGCGGAGTGTCGTCGCGTCGCTAAAAATGTTTATTTACGTTCGCTGGGATATCGACATTAACCTTTTAAACGACGCGGTCGGATGGCGTATAACGTTGCCGCCGGTATCGCTGCCATTCATATTTGTTTTTATCCGTATCCGCGTGCGCGCACGGAAATATCTTCGAATGGAAACGGCTGGACGCGCGATACGATTTTATGAGCCACATGTTCCCGCAATATACGCGGACAATACAAATGGCGACTTAGATCAGCAGGTGAATTCTTCCCGAGAGCGAGAGAAAGAGAGAGAAAGAATCTCGCCCTTTCTCTCTTTTTCTCTCCCTCTTTCTCTCCCGCCGGCAAAAGCGAAATTGTTCTTGCCGTTTCTTTTTCAATATCTCCTGCTTTATGAATGGGATAAGAGGAAAAAGAGAGAAAGCACGCGGTGGATTCACACGATGTGCTGCTGCTATACTGCTGCTGCGGGGAGGAACTTGCCAGACTTTATAAATGGTGGCCTCAAGTGGCTTTAAGTAGAAGAAGTCGTGCGAACAGTTATAAACGGCAAGAAAAACAGAAAACCGGCGCGAAAGGATCGAATGTCATCGCACTGGTTACTGGTTGCTCGTTGGCTTTATCGCATTATTATTCCTGTTATGACACGAGAACGGTGAATTTGAAATGATCAATCTCTTTTTCATAAGCTACACAAGAGAGTGAGAATATTAAGATAAGAATTCCTAATCAGGGCCCGGGCGTATCGCCTCAAATTATCTGGTTGAATTCACGCGAATAACGTATATTCTCCCTTGAGAGGCGGAGGGGGGAGGCTGACGAGACTTTCTGGGACATCCGACACGCCAGCTGTTTAACTTCGAAAAGCGCACGGCGAGCAACGCCTGAATCTCTTGCATCCCGTGTAACCTGTGTATTATGCAAATTCGATAAGTCTTAAAATCTGATTTACGACATATCCGGAATGAGCCGGGGCGTTCGAACTCGGCGCGTGAACGAGCGGGTTTCCGCCGCCGACGACGAGCTCGAGACCGCCGCGGCTATAGCCTGCGACTTTACGCGGGGAAAACGGTTCTTTCCCGCTAGCCGTCGCGCCTGAGCGGGACTGATAAGCATGCAAAGCCGCCGACGGTATCGCGACCAAGGGTCATTTCTTTCCGAGACGTCGATGAGTCAGTCGCGAAGACAGAAATAACGCCGCGCTCGGCCACGGTAACGCCGCGCGCGCGGATAAAAAAGAAGGAGCGCGCGCGATAACTGAGCGCGAGCCGAGAGAGCGTACACGTTCGTTCCGCTCCAATTTTGAAATACGAGGGGGGGGGAGGGGGGGGGAGGGACGATCTATCATCCTTGAAAATTGGAGTAAAAGCTCCGCCTTTTTTTTTTACTCCGCCAGTATTTGCAACGTTTCCGTCGATGCGATACATTAAAACAAGCTATCGAACGCATGATAAATCGGACGTTTTAACATCGTCGTCGTGTCTCTGCGATATATAAAAAAAAAGACGTTTTGATAATACGTAATGCGAATGCGCTGCTGCACGAAGTCTCTAAAAAAATTTAATGCACAAATGATTGAAGTCGCTATAAAGAAGAAGAAATTCACGTCTTCAAACGACATACGATCGACGGGTAATGAGATTATACTGATAACGACAAGCGCATCCAACAAATAACTGCAAATAAATTTGTTTTAACATATATTATTCGAGTTTTTTTTTTTATGTTTTGATCCTTCCACAGACGATGACTTTTAGCTGATTAGAAATTGTTGCCGCTCTTCCAACTTCTGAATGCAAATAAATGAAAATATCCTCCTCTCTGCCGCTTCTAAACGACTCTCTCGCTGAAAGAGGTATTATCATCGATTGTGTCACGCGTCTTACGTCGTCCGGTTGAAGTTTTGATTAAATTTGTTTATCCGCCCTGTTCTAAATTCGTACATATTCAAAAGCTTGCGAGATGAACGCTACACAGAGATTTCCCCACGATCTCCCGCGGCAAAAGTCATCTGGACTTTCATTGAGATGCGAATGGACCGAGAGGCGAACATCGCGCTCGCCCGCGTGAGGGAGAGAGATAGAGATTTGCCGGCCGTTGCGGCGTGTCGTGTATCGCGGGTTCCAACGAAATTTTACGTAACATGTAAATGCGCTCGTCGTGAATGCGGTCGCGTTACGTGCCTCTTTCTCTCCATGTCTCTCTCATTCTCTCTTTCTCTCTCTCTCTCCTTCGTTTTCTCCCTTCCCGTCTCTCTTTATTGCCGAAGCGGCACTTACGAAACCAGTTTCGGTGTAGACTGGCCGCTCTCGCGGGTCTCTCTTTCGGGATACGGCCGACGAATTTTTTCTTCCACGGGCGAGAGAGCGAGCTCCTCCTCCCTCCTCCCTCATTCTTCCTCCCCAAGTTCAGAAATATTATCACGTTGTCGCCAAAGCGGTTCTCTCTCTCTCTCTCTCTTTCTCTCGTGTGACAGTGCAAAATCTCCCGCGAGTATACCCTTCGTGGGGGCGAAGGGGAGGGGGGAGGGTGGAGGGTGGATGGAGGCTGCCTGGCTTCGAGAGCTCCTTTACGAATTTCGTCACGCGCACCGAAGGGACGCGCTCTCCCGGCTGGCTCTGCATTTGTATTCGTTGCGCAAGGTCCGGTCGCGCCCTCGTTCCTTAAACAGTATAATTTGCGGAATCTCGTCGGCGACGAGCACTCTTTCTCCTCTCTCTCTCTCTCTCTCTTTGCCTTCCTTCTCTATAACCTCCCGTCGCGGCGTGTCGGATTAAACCGCCGTGATCGGCGGCTGCATCGACGAGCTCTGCACTCGTTGCAGAAACGTCTCGTTCGAGCTCCTTTGCAAAAAATCACGGCAGCTCGTTCGCGGCCGCGCGAGCATTTAATTCGCAAGCGTCGGAGATAAATTCCGAGAGGTGAAGCCGTGTCACGATCAAACGGAAGTGCTCTACCCGACTTTTCCCCGTCGCGCTGCGCACCGGACGACACGCTTTTTAAGCCTCGCGCCCGGCCGGATTGACGCGTCAATTCGTCGGATTAATATCGCGCCCTGCGGTTTTTCAATTATCGCGAGCAGTATCGCGCGCGGCGATAAAGACGTATAACTCGATTATGCGGTATTATGACGTCTCGATGAAATAGCTTAATACAATTTCCGTGTAGAGGACGCACGGCGAATCTGACAGTACGATAATTAAAGCGCCACGTTGCTTTATCTGCTATCAGGGGATCGCTCTCTCCCGCTCTCTTGAGCTCGGCCGGCTACTGAAAATTAGTCTCCGGCTAAACTCGATTACCCCGCGATCGGAAATATCGATAGATTTGCTAAACGTTCATCCCGGATAAAAAGCATAATTCGATCAGCCGCGCACGTGCGCGCAAAACGTCGCAACGGGACGAAGGGGAATATCTAATAACGACAGGCGGAGGAGCCATGGGGTCTACCTCTCTTCCCCCGTACACACAAAAAAAAGAAACACGCCGCCTTGAAGCGAGAAATCAAATTAAAAATAAAGGCTGTAAATCAAATCGAAAGAAAGCTTAGGCGTAACGTCCGAATTCATCACGCGTGTCCAAACTGCGGCAAACTTTCCCTAATTTATTTAGCCCAAAAAAATTGACACGTTGACATTTGATTCGAATAAAAATTGACTCAGAGACCCTCCCCACGGGTGGACTCACTTTACGCGTGAAAAGTTTTAATTGCATCGCCGAATGATGATGACG